GCTGTCTCGTGTCTTTTCACCGCTCCCATCTATTTCAATCCATCTTTCACATCTCTCTCCAGAATAACTTGCGATTAACAGGATTTCACCTGTTCTTTAAATGCATGTGCTAATGAAATGCATGTACAACCTTAATATTGCAACTATTATTTTTTTTATGTTTAACCCAGTGGGAAAATGAAAAAGATCTACGCATTTTAGTCTGTGGTATTTACACACAAAAACCTGCTATTTATACATTAACCAGCGAACCAGGCACTAAATGCGCAGATTTAACATGGTCAAAGTTTTGCTGGTTAGCATAGGCCTTTAGCCCCTGCTGGTAAATGTTGTAACTACACAATTTGTTAAACATAATAAAATAAAATTAATTAAATGCATACATACATGCATAAAATTAACATTTATTCCATTAGCAGCAACTTTTAGCTCAGGCTGCAACTTGTTTTCTTTTAGCAATCAATTAATCTTTCGATTATTTTTTCAATTAGTCGATTAATTTAACCATATTTTTTTTTATTACCAAACTCTCTAATACATCTATTGATTATTTTCTGATTAGTCCATTAGTCCTTTGTTTAACTTTTTTTTTTTTTAAATCAATTAATCTTTCGATTTTTTAAAATTTTTTTTAGATTAATCGATTAATCTAATGATTATTCTCCCCAAACCATCTAATAAATCTATTGATTCTTTTCTGATTAATTCTTTGTTCAACTTACCAAACAATAAAAAAACAGAACTTCTGCCATTCATCTATCCAATGTTTCACTCAAACAGTGTGAATTTGCCGAGAATGCAGTTGTGAGTACTGAAAGTTTCCATCATGCCCAAGAGCCGGCATCATTGGGATGAACATAAAAAGTTGGATGTATTCATGCAATCAATGCAAAATGATACATTTACATAATTGACACCGTCGATTAGGTTGACCCATCATTACGGCAATACTTTTAATCAGAAAGAGAAAGAACATCATGAATAATTTGTCATTTATTTCATAAAAAATTATCACAGGCAACACTAAAACAATTCAGACAGAACATGCAAATAAACACTGCTATTTAATAACAGCGGCCCTATTTATTGTTAGTGAATTTGGCACTCAAAAATACTGATATTTTCAGCATATATATTACCACTTCAAATAGACGTCTTATAATCTCCTTCTTCACACCTTCGAGCGAATGAAAAGTTTCAAAGTTCATCACTCAGCGGGTGTGAATGTATGCATATCTTTCTTATAATTACCCCACACTTCCGTTGCTCTTAGAGTCGTCTGTTAAATGTCAGTGCTTTTTAAAGCTCCGCTGCACCATATGTCTCTTTAGCTCAGCTCCATCAATTACAACTGAGCAGAAGCATTGATCCATTGAATTTCTCAGTCCACTCATTTATCTGAGCCGCTCAACAAAAATGACATTTCTACTTTATAATCATGTATATGTCAATGTGAGGCCACACATTTTGCTTTTGACCAGGTTATTTCTAATGTTAGGTTTCAATAGTAAATCAAGAATGAACTATTACTTATGGTACATATTTAACGTTTGTTTTTCTGATCTTGAAATATGCCTTTGATATATTAAAATGAAAGTTCATCTTAAAATTGTAATGCCATTCCAAACCTGCATTCAGTGGGTTACACTTTAGTCCACTTTAGATGTTCTACTAACTATAAGTAACTTTGCAACTAAATGTCAATTAACGCTCATTAGTCTACCAATACCCTAATGACTGCTTGTTGACATGTAGTTGCAAAGTTACTTATAGTTAGTAGAACTCTTAAAAGTGGACTATCAAAATAAAACATAACCAAAAAGTGGTTGTGTCCATACAATGTTGTTTTGGACCCCATTGACTTACATTATATAAAACCATTACAACATTCTTCAAAATATCTTCTTTTGTGTTCCACAGAAGAAAGTCATACAGGTTTGGAACAACTTGAGGGTTAATAAATGATGACAGAATTTTTGGGTAAACTGTCATCTTAAATTAATGAAAATTTCCAGTAAGCATTTGAGAAAGATTGCATTATTTGTGTCAAAACAGTAGAGAATGAATCCAAAATGAGTCTTAATTTAGTGGATTCACTGTGTTCTTTTAATGCATGATTTCCGAACAGATGGCTGACTGTTGAAAAAAAAAGAAAGAAGTCCTAATTATCAGACTATGGATCCAAAATTAATATACTTTTCCAGGCAAACGCATTCTTTTGCATACATGTCTATACGGTACTTTGAATTTGTGCCTGTCTGACTACTTATTGATCTGTCTACCCATTCCTCCATGACGAAAGGCCTCTAAAATTTCTGTCAAAATGTATTTTTGTGTTAGAATTGTAAATCTTAAAAAAAAAAAAAAAGGTGCACTGCACAGAATAGAAAAGTGTGTCTGTTTAGACAGTTCTAGCAACAGAAATCAGAGGTACTAAAATCTGAGCCATGTTCACATACCCGTACCTCAATTCAACTGGAATTGATGTTATTAATATTAAAAAAGCAAATATTAAACATGCCCACTTCTTAAACCCAGGGACACCGTCGGCTAGCCGCGAGCGCTTGATTGTTTCCATGCCACATTTTGCCGTCTGATCCCAGGCAGCTTTGAGGCATCCATCGCTCAGCGAAGACTGTTCCAGCTGCCATCCGCTCATTCCTCAGCAGAATGAATGGCTTCCCTACACCACGCTCCCCGTGCCGAGCTGGCTCTTTCATCTCTCTGAAGCCCTCTCGCCGTGATACACTACGTGAGTGCACATGTGAGGCGCAGCTGAAGCGCGGCCCTGCCGAAGACTGATGAGGTTTCCACCTTGTCGTGATGGAGCTCAATATGGTCTTTGCTGCAAGCTGATATGAGCTCGTGTTCGGGCTGATATGGTTTGTTTCAGGGGAGTAGTGGTCTCAGAGAACTCAAATAGGATTTGTATGGCACTGAGTAATAGTTGTTTTGCAAATTTAGTTAGATTCTTTGTAAGGAGGGATGAGATGCACTCTGCAGTGAAGTATGGCATCATGACTTCAGCTACATAATATTGGTGTTTGCACGTAGATTGATTGACAACTTTAAGTTTAGTTGCTTTACTAGAAATACATTATTTTCAGTGCACACATGCCTTTTTATGCAAATAAGCCTTATTATAAAATGCAACATATTCAGAAAACCTGTTGTTACTGCCTGGTGCAGTTAACGCTGGCATGAAATGAAAATTTATTTTGTTAATGACTTTTGTAGATGTCATAGCAAACAATTCATACATAAACGATTTTTCTTAATCGACACAAAATATTGTAACATGATCTTCCAACAGACTTCTCTCTAGTAACGCAAGCAGAAATTTTCCAATCATTAATCCACTTAAACCCCGCCCCCTCTACAACCGACTGCAAGTTCACATTAATTTGTAATGCCACGCCCACATCTCAAAATCCAATCAACAGCCAGCAGATAGAACCAAGTCCCCGCCCTGCATTGTTTTTTTTTTTCCTTTTCGATAATTTGTTACACTGTTGTATATCACAATACGGAAGAAAGAGATCTGTTTCTAGTAATGTTGTCAAAAGTACCGACTTCGGTACCAGTCTTTACTGAAATTTAAAAAATGTAAATTTTCCGCTAACATTTGAGCGCTGTTGAGCGGATTCGTAAACATCGCTGATTGGCCATTGTGTTCACGATCTTAACAGATATGACTGTGATTGGCTGATAGACGTGGCTTTCAAACCTCCCGTGTGCTTCTGTGTGAGCGCTCGGTGAAGAGCGTGAAGCGATGACCATTGAAACTAATCACGGTCATATCCGTTGAGCACGTGAACACAATGACCAATCAGCGCTGTTTAAGAATTCGCTGAAATGTTAGCGGGAATTGGACTTTTTAAAAAATGTCAGTACCGACTGGTACCGAAGTTGGTACTTTTGAAAACACTAGTTGCTAGTTCGATTTCATTGCAACTTCAATGTTGCATTTTTACGTTCCATTTTTTTCCCAATAGTGCTGTTGGCAAAAATATTGACTTTCTGATACATATCAATGGATATTTGAAATGGCTTCAATACTCATTTTCACCAGTATCAATAAAATGATACCAGCTGCAAATTCAAAAGTTGAATTAAATGTGTATTTAATCTGTATAAGGCATTACATCGAACTTAGAAGTTCCAGTATCATGGCAAAACAACTCTATATTGCATTCGTCCAGAGCAGGTAGTCTAATTTCAAAATTCCCAAACAGATTTGAAATATTTCTGACACACTTAATATTCTTAGTGCCAGGCTGTAACTAGATTATAGAGTGAGATGTGCTCATCTACTTAAGGAGCTTAATGGAAATAAGCATGACACAACATCTACTTTCAGCCTTGATATGTAAGAGGAATAAATTCAATAATCCCAAGAGGCTTCTTAAGAAATCTTCTCTGACTGACTGGCTGGTGCTCTCATTCAGTAGTATGGCAACCTATATGAGCTGAAACTATGGGATATAAATCATCTATTTTCAACTGTCCAAAACTCTGACTGACGTCTTGGTGAGCAAATCAGTTTCCAAAGAACATGTCTGGTCTCATTCTGTAGAGCCGAGGGACACAATTGGACTCATGTGGAGAGCTGACAATGGAACCAAATCACAGCAGCCCACTTTGACCCCTGTATTCTTGTACAAAATGAGATGTGGTTGAAATGCTATTCTAAACGCTGCAGAAAAGACTAACATAGCTGGTTACCAGAATATGCTATGTTTTGTGCAATAGACAGTTGGGTTTATCCTCACTGGGATGCTGAGCCACAGACAATTGGCTTATTGAGAAAAAAAAATCAAATAGTAGGAGCTTGTTAGTTGACTAACAAGACTATGCTGTTTGACCAACTTTGGCAAAAATACCTAGCTGGTTGGGTTTATGAAAATACTCTCATTAATAGTTTGAGGCCACATAGCATATGCGCTTTACATAAACGGTAAAGATGACAAGAAGCTAGAAAAGCGGTGTTCCACACTTACGTGCTGCCACTGGTCTCGGATGAGCGGCCGGTAGCGCAGGAAGTACTTCAGCGGGAAGGTCTCCACATCGGGCCACGTACTGGGACTGTTCCAGGTCACCTCTAGTCTTCGTGCATTGTTGGCTACGGGTTTGGCCACCACCTTCTCAGGTGGGTCAGGTTTCACTGTTGGACCGAACAGACCTCGATGTAAGCTCATGACCGATCTCAGGTATCATATTCAAAGGAATAAATCCCCCCAAATTAATTCTGTCATCAGAATTTCATTGCTTTCTTCTGTGGAAAACAGATGGAGAAAAGTCCTCAAATTGTATGCACACATGGCCATATTCAAATGGGTCACGTCAAAACGCATCTCGCCAGGTTTGACGTAATTAACACTAAATGGCATTTCTTCTCATGTATCTCACAACAGAATGTGTCTGGTATGTTTGAATAGGAATAAAATAATAATAATTAAAAAAACAGTTCTGGTTCTTGCACATAGTATGGCTTAAAGGCAAGATACTACAGGTAAATAGGGTTATAAATAATAATAATAATAATAATAATAATAATGATAGGGTAACTCACCATACTTTCCCTAGTTCTTTAATCACAGTACATTAATTGTTTTGTATTTAACGTTTTCTAAACTTTTATGTTTAAATATGCAAATGTTACATTATATAATTACATATTCTTTAGTTTGCATAAAATTCTAGAACAGAAATATGAAAATTGGATTAAGCCAGGATCAAAATTCATGTGCAATTTTGCTGACATATTACAGATAAAGTATTGTTTTAAATACTGAAAAATATTGAAAAGTATATATACATACAATATATACATTATATATCCCTCTATGGGATATTGTCATTTATAAATGACGCTAAGAAAATTGCATGTAAAATACAATATTAATGTTCAACCAACAAAATGTTATTTTAGTGATGTCAAATGACATCCCCTTCAACCAGTAAAATTAAAATTTATTG